TGGAGTGCTAGAGTGAGATCCTAGATTGGGATGAACATCTAGTATGGGGAACGTGCCGCAGTGCCACCCAGTTGCTGAAAAATAGACAAAGGTTCCCACAACATTTTGGATGAGCGCAGGTAAAGAAGCTAGTTTAAAGAGAATAGTATTCGTCTAGCCACATAGAATGTAGGAGCACTTACAACTAAGAGGATAGAGTTAGTGGATACAATAAAACAAAGGAGAGTAAACATAGGTTGTCTACAAGAAACCAAGTGGAAAGGGAAAAAAGCTAAGGAAGTACATAGATATAAACTTTAGAAATGGCGTAGGTATAATAGTAGACAAAGATTTAAAAGATAAAGTAGTTAATGTCAAGAGAGTAGGTGATAGGCTCCTATTAATTAAACTTGTATTAGGGGAACAGATAATTAACATAATTAGTGCTTATGCACTACAAGTAAGACTAGAGGATAAAATTAAGAGACAATTTTGGGAGGACTTGGATGGACTAGTCTAAAACATACAAAATAGAGGGCGGCCCTTTTAGGAGGGGATTTAAATGGTCATGTAAGGAAGTATAGTAGAGGATATGAAAGGGTTGCAAATAGAATTAGATGGGTGAAGTTATTCAAGATTTTACCATGGCCTGCAACCTAACAATAGCAAACACTTACTTTAAACAGAAAGATGAACACTTAATAACCTATAAAAGTTGATCATAAAACCAAATAGACTTCTTTCTAGTTAAGAAGGTAGATTGACCATCATGCAACGATTGTAAGGTTATCCTAGGAGAGAGTTTGACTACGCAACATAGGCCTGTGGTTATGGACGTTTACATAAAGAGATGGAAGAGATGGGATGAAATTAACAGGTGTCCAAGAACTATATTGTGGAATTTAAAAAATGAGAAAATAGTCTTATTTAGGGATAAATTAGTTAAAAAAAGAAAATGGAACTCTGAACATGAAGTCAATATTATACGGAATGAGATGGATGACTGTATTACGAAAGTGACAAAAGAAGTTTTAGGAGAAACTAGAGGGAAAAGAAATTCCGATAAAAAAACTTGGTAGTCGAGTGACGAGGTTTAGAAGGCCACTAGCAAAAAACAATCACGTTATAAATGTTGGCAATGTAATACAAATGATCAAAACTTAAAAGAATATAAAAATGCTAAAGACAAGTGCTAAACAAATACTAAATAAAGCTAAACTTAAGATATATGATAATCTATATAGTAAATTGGGAACAAAGAAATGAGAAAAATATGCCTTCAAATTAGCAAAAATGAAAGAAAAAAAGTGTAGGGATCTAGACCATATTAAATGCATTAAGAGTGAGGATCAAAGGGTCTTGGTGGTGGATGAAGAGGTCAATGGAAGGTAGAGAGTTTATTTACAAAAGTTAGTAAAAGACGAACACAATAGAACACAACAGTAGAAGAAACATTTGGCCTAAATGAGGGCAGAGGTCATACATACATTCATAGGATTAGGATATCGGAAGTGAAATAAGTTTTGAAGAGGATGAAGATAGGAAATGCTTGACCAGAGGTATCCCGATAAAGGTTTGGAAGTACATGGGGGAGATCGGTATTGATTGGCTGACCAAGCTATTCAACAAGGTGTTGAGAACAAAAAAAATACCAGATGAATTAGGGAAAAATATTGTGATACATATTCACATGTACAAATGAGACATAAAATTGTGCGAACTATCAAGGGATCAAACTTTATGAGCCACACTATGAAGTTGTGGGAGGGAGTTCTTGAGCAACGACTAAGGCATGAAACAAATGTATCAAAAAACCAATTCAATTTATGTCAGGAAGGTCAACAATTGATGCTATTTTCCTACTTAAGCAACTGATTGAGAAATTTTGGGCGAAGGGAAAAGACCTCCACATGGTCTTCATTGATTTAAAAAAACATAAGAAAAGTACCTTGAGATTTAATTACGCAAGTGTTGAAAAAGAAGGGAGTCTCGAGATTATACATTGACTTGGTGAAAGATATGTACAAGAGATAGAATTCGAAATGAATATATTCAAGCGAGCTTAGGCATGGATCCACTAGACGATAAAATGAGAAAAAGTAGAATTAAGTGGGCTGGCCATATGTAACACAGACCCAATACAACACCTGTTAGGAGGTGCAAGTTAGTTCAAGTGGAAGGCGCAACTTTGAAAGACGAAGTAGTAGAGAATCAATTTCGATTGAGATCAAAGTGCAGGCTATTAGTTGGGTAAAGATAAAGGAATTTCGAGGTTCATAATATGTGTTTTGGTTTATTAATATATGTGGGTTCATAACAGTCAACGGCATCAAAATATATATATATATATATATATGTCAGTGCTTTAAAATGCAGCCGCATCATGTGGTATGCGGTGGGCACCGCATCTACACAGACCGTATATGCGATTTTGAGTTATGCGCCGCATTAGACCACATCAGAGCCGCATCTGGTCGCATCGTTTTCTGCAAAAAAAAAAATTTCGATTGTGCCCCTTGGGGAGGGGCAAAATGGTCTTTTTGACCATCAAAAATTGGGGGAAACCAATGGTTTAAAAAACGGATCGGTGACCCGGATCGGGCTTCCAAAAAACCGATCCGGATCGGCGAATCGACGATCCGG